GATCCCTTTATTGAACTGGGTTGATCTTTATTGAACTGGATCAATCCCTTTGTTGAACTGGGTTGATCCCTTTATTGAACTGGGTCGATCCCTTTATAGAACTGGGTTGATCTTTATTGAACTGGATCAATCCCTTTGTTGAACAGGGTTGATCCCTTTATTGAACTGGGTTGATCCCGTTATTGAACTGGGTTGATCCCGTTATTGAACTGGGTTGATCCTTTTATTGAACAGGGTTGATCCCTTTATTGAACTTGGTTGATCCCTTTATTGAACATGGTTGATCCCTTTGTTGAACTGGGTTGATCCCTTTGTTGAACTGGTTAATCCCTTTGTTGAACTGAGTTGATCCCTTTATTGAACTGGGTTGATCCCTTTGTTGAACTGGGTTGATCCCTTTATTGAACAGGGTTGATCCCTTTATTGAACTGGGTTGATCTTTATTGAACTGGATCAATCCCTTTGTTGAACTGGATCAATCCCTTTGTTGAACTGGGTTGATCCCTTTGTTGAACTGGGTTGATCCCTTTATTGAACTGGGCTTATCCCTTTATTGAACTGGGTTGATCTTTATTGAACTGGATCAATCCCTTTGTTGAACTGGGTTGATCCCTTTATTGAACTGGGTCGATCCCTTTAAAGAACTGGGTTGATCTTTATTTAACTGGATCAATCCCTTTGTTGAACAGGGTTGATCCCTTTGTTGAACAGGGTTGATCCCTTTGTTGAACAGGGTTGATCCCTTTGTTGAACAGGGTTGATCCCTTTGTTGGACTCGGTCGATCCCTTTATTGAACAGGGTCTGTCCCTTTATTGAACAGGGTCGATCCCGTTATTGAACAGGGTCGATCCCTTTATTGATCTGGGTTGATCTCTATTGAACTGGGTTGATCCCTTTATTGAACAGGGTTGATCCCTTTATTGAACAGGGTTGATCCCTTTATTGAACAGGATCGATCCCTTTCTCTGTGGTCTATTTTTATTAAAGGTCTATTTTTGTTAAAGGTACATTTTTATTAAAGGTCTGTTTTTATTAAAGGTACATTTTTATTAAAGGCACATTTTTATTAAAGTTCTATTTTTATTAAAGGTCTATTTTTTATTAAATGTCTATTTTTATTAAAAATATATTTTATTAAAGGTATATTTTATTAAAGGTGTATTTTTAATAAAATTCTATTTTTATTAAAAGTCTATTTTTATTAAAGATATAATTTTTATTAAAGGTATATTTTTATTAAAGGTCTATTTTTTATTAAAGGTATATTTTATTAAAGGTATATATTTTTAAAGGTCTATTTTTATTAAAGGTACATTTTTATTAAAGGTACATTTTTATTAAAGTTCTATTTTTATTAAAGGTCTATTTTTTATTAAAGGTCTATTTTTATTAAAGGTATATTTTATTAAAGGTATATTTTATTAAAGGTGTATTTTTATTAAAGGTCTTATTTTTTATTAAAAGTCTATTTATTAAGTCTATTTTTATCAAAAGTCTATTTTTATTAAAAGTCTATTTTTATTAAAAGTCTATTTTTTATGAAAGGTATATTTTTATTAAAGGTCTATTTTTTATTAAAGGTATATTTTATTAAAGGTATATTTTTTTTAAAGGTACATTTTTATTAAAGGTACATTTTATAAGCACAGAACTACGGGTATCAGCCCCAACTTCCTTAATTTTTAGAAATCAGCCGATACTCGCATGAGAAACCAATTTTACTGATGTTTGCAGTTTTAACAAGAATTGTCTGAGCTTCATTTATATTTCAGAGCACCACCTCATGGCCAGTTAACACCAGTTTGTATTGTTTCTAGGATGTTGTTCAATAAAATACTGGACAATCGAAGGTGCACTGTGACCTTATAACACGGGACAGTGTCGATTATGAAACTAAATCAGAACGAGCAGGTCAGACTCTAGAAATCTTTGATCGTCCAGTAAGCTGCAGTGGGTGCACCTCTACACAGAACTGGTGTAACCATAAGTACCAGATCCAAAAAAGTTCAATCTGGTCCTCTGGACATTCAAAAAAACAAAACAGCAAAAAAATGTAGAACCGTTTCGTCTCTCATCCTGAGGACTTCCTCAGTCTGAGGTGCTGTATTCAGCTCAGTCTCTTAAATAGCACCTTCTCAGAGTGGATCAACCAGTTGCGTTTCTGTATTTTTTTTGCTTTGTTTTGTTTTTTGTTTTTTTGAATGTCCAGAGGACCAGATTGAACTGTTTTGGATTTTTCTACCTGGATTATTGAGCAGCATCAGGATAAGTACCAGATGTTTACTGAAGGAAGCAGTGCATTCTTAGTTCAGAATAAAGTTCAGTGTGTTTAAGGTCTCTGGCTACACTCTGCACATCCTCCAGCACGTTGTCCTCCAGCTCACCTACCTCCTTGTGTTCCAGGTAAACATGGCATCATCTGTTTGGAGGACCTGATCCATGAAATCTTCTCGGTCGGCAAGAGCTTCGTGGCCGCCAACAGCTTTCTGTTGCCGTTCAGGCTCTCTGTACCTCGGCACGCTGCCAGAGACAAAGCTGGACTCCTGAAAGACCTGGGAGACCCTGGTTTCCGCGGTACAGAGATCAACTCGATCATCAGACTGCTGAACTGAGCGAAGCCTCACAACATGGACGCTGAGCTCCAACTTCAAGGACTATTTGTTGGAGAACAACTGAAAGACGCAACAGAATACAATTTTTCTTTTTGAGGAAATGTTAACTAGTTTTTTACCCAGTTTAATTAAACTCCCATCTGTCCCTGTCCTCTGCTTCCAGTTAAAGCAGTGGGACATGACCTGTAGTGTCGTTGTGACGTAGACCCTCTGAACGTGTTCATTATACAAGCAGGTTGTCCCAGGAGTCGTACCTGCAGCGTGCACCAACACTAAAGTTGTTCTTGTACACGAGCCCACCATAAACAGATTTTACTGTTTGAACTTTGGTGGAACGGGGGGTCAGAAGTTCTTGATTCATAAATGATACGTTGTGTTATAACTGATGGGCAGACTATTACAAATGTTCTGAAAAGACTTGGAGACTTCAGTGATGGAGACGTCTGGTGGACATCACTGAAGCTCTGACCTTCAATCCCATGTCCGCAAATAAACTGGGAGACTGGTCAGTCGTGTGCTTCATTAAATGACATCTGTGTTGCACGTTAAATGTTTTGTACTGTTCAAACTAAGATGGTGCACGGTGTTTCAGCATGTATGATCATTCATTCAAGCTTTATTGAAACAGTCACACTGAGCCTCAAAGACTCGTTTACAAGTGAGACCAGTTTGGACAGACGGTGTTAAACTGGACACCTGCTGGTTACTGCTCACATAAGTGCAGGGTGAACTAGAAAGTACAGGTGCTAATCAAAAAATGAGCATATTGTGATAAAGGTCATAATTTTCCATAATGTAATGATAAAAATGAAACTTTCATATATTTCAGA